GATAAGTTTTCAATTTGTGCGAGACGAGATTAATGCTATAATTTCCCTTCAAACCGTATACACAAGTAGTTCTACAGATACACCATCGAATTTCCGGCAACTGATGGACCGTCACCTCTTTTAATTCCCACAAAATGACTAGAGAGAATTTGAAATTATCGGCCACTGACGGCATTGTATATAGGATTCGCTTATTTACATTATCTACATTGAAATTGCTGCTGATGATATCGTAACTTTTGTGATATTTTTAGTTTATTTTGCTATCTAGCTATGACTTATACGAGAGATAAGTGTGTCAGTGGTGGTGTCAAACGTAAACAACAGTCCATTTTGATCCAAGAGAATGTAGAGCTGTTTCAAAACCTAGTAACAATGTTCAGTTCTGGTTTAATGCGTGATTAACAGGGCTATCGGTTTACTTGTTATACTTCAATAAAGGTGCTTCCTGTGGTTTTTTAATTCTACTCTTCGGACACCAAAAAGGATTCTTTTAGCAAGCCCATTCGGCCAGGCCACCACAATGGGAGGCCGAGTGGTTAGGGACGGGGACTTCAAGATCTGAAAACCATGACTTAAGTTGGCATTTCCTTGATGGTTTTCGAAATTTAAATATCGGAATTCATAAGAAATTATCTTTGTTTTCTCGAGATAAAACTCGTATCGATGTTATATTTAAGAGAGATTTATGCATTAATTCAGATAATGTGTATTAACAGAAATTAGCTAAGTAATTTTGCTAATGACTACAAAATGTGAACGAAACAGTATCAATAATGTTACGAAATTTTAAGTTAATGGATATAAAAAGAGGAATGGAATTTTTAAAATTAAAATATGATTAAAAATTGTAGTCCTGCATTGTGACAATGATACAATAATGTATATTCGATTTTGATTTAATTATAGTTACAGTTACATTACAATTGTGACAAATTACGTGACCGGAAATTGGGTTGTCACGTTATAGTAGATAGCGTGATAGACTGATCACGCGGGATGACCGATTTTCTGCACCACCTAAGTTTTTATTCGCGCCTAGACCTGGAGTCTCCACACGGGGACTTGGGGTCAGAGAACGTTAGAGGAATTAAAGAGAGACAACGACCCGGAAGTGATTCACTCAACTCGTTAATAACATTTCAAGATATCTCATTTTCCAGATTGCCGAAGTGATAAGAATGATTCCTGTAGGTTGTGGACAATCCATTCGGTTTGGGAAAATATCATAAAAATCTACCAATAAATCAACTTATTTTTACAGAAATGGAGTGTCCGCAGCACAGTCCATACATTGGGGCACTTGGGACATGTGCCCCTTTTTTCTTTTCCTAATACAAATGAGACCCAAAGTTACATTATCAACAAAAAGAAGATTCACGAGTTCTAATCTATGCTGCAAGTGTTAAAGAAACTTACGAACGAGATTTATCATTGTTCCACACATACTTGTGTGTTGACCAAAATCATATTCCTTGTTTCCAAAGCCAATTTAGCCCCGAGTGCAACCAGCCATCTTTTTTGGGAGTGCTGATCCGTCATTGAATCACAGAGTGAAGCTTCTTGCATAATGTAGATGCTCATTTTTTGTAGTTAGTGCCCCATTCTTATACTTTGCAGAATTTGTTTTTTCACAAATTAATCAGCTAAAGATTCACTTTGCATATAAATATTTATTATTTTCCACATATTTTAATCCTGTTAATTCAGTCCCAGATTTTTCGGAAGATAGTCCGTCCGTATATGTCGAGTCCAGTCCCGACCACCATATTGTGGATCCGGCCAAACCCATAATTGGTTTGCTAAAACTAGGCCCTCTTAATGCTTGCAGGGATGAAAGTCTTAAAAAACCCATCTTAAATGATAATAAAAAACATCAGAAACATTAAGATGAATATTTATCTCTGATATTCTAATATCATTTTAAAAAATATAATGTATATTACTATAATTTGAAGCCAGTTTAAAAAGATTTACACAATTTTAATATATATATAATTTCGTAGCTTCTTATGTAGCAGAATAAATTCAGAATAGATAAGATTGAAAGAGGAACACCAAAAGATGCAGAAATTGTACTGGTTTATTGGTGTGATATTTGCATTATTATCTGTTTGAAAATTTATTTGATGTCTTAGTGACTTGATTCCCTTATTATTGGATGCTGAAGGTAAGTACCATTTAAAATTCTATGTAGAGGGTGGCTATAATTACGGTTTCTGTATTCAGAGCAGTCTGTAACTGTAATCAATAAGTGGATTGGCACAAAAATTTGTATACAGACTTTGCAATATATGGTTTATGATTGAAATGTTGCAACTTTGTTTGCAGGGAGATGATTGTATTATAATGCACGTCCAAAGCATTAATGGAGAGCGTTTGCAATTAGCTGTATAACGCACCATTCATCGCCTTCAAATTTTACATCCGAACAACGGGCACATATTGAGCAACATTACTTACATTTGTAAACAGCCTCTGCAGAAGACGTGTCTCTTGCGGAACGAATAAACGAATAAGTTCGTTGTGTTGTTGTTATTATTATTATTGTTGTTGTTTGTTTCGTGTATTTTTCAAGTAAAGCACTTCAACGGAAATTTTTTAACTAAAATTTTTTCTGCAAAATCACGTACCGCATCCTTTTCTCTTTTCATATATGTTTGTAAATTTTGGTGTCAATTCGCTTATTGGTTACAACTATACAGTGCTATGAATAGAGAAACATTAATTATGGCCCTCCTGTATTTCACCCGTTTGTCGTTTCATATTCAATAAATTAGAATTTCAGATGTTATTCCTGATCTTTTGTTTCTCTCTAATTTGTAATAATCTTTCGTTATTTCTTTATCGGAACGTCTTGACGTCTTGTGTGGACTGACACAAGTATTTTAGTACAGAAGCTCAATGGTTCCGATTTGGGTAATGGACTCTCGACAAAATTATCCGAAATGGAGACAGACAATTGTAGACCAGAAGATTATGGACATGAAAATTCCGATCAAAAGAAAGATTTTTTTATCGAATACGACTTTGACACCCGGAAATGACCTTCTACCCGGTTACGACGTAATGAACTGGATTTAACTTTTTATCACGGTTTATCTTTTTCGTTTCCAATATACGACAGATACTTCGGCATCATCCGAATATTCTTTCTTCCACTTCATTTAAACTTCGTAGAACAACGACAGTGTGACGTCGTCTATCATCGCCAGTGACAACGAATGAATAAGACAGTGTTTCTAGAGTTTAAACACTGTGTTATGTTCTTGTTTAAAATAATATTTCAACCGGTTTCTACTGCTAAGAGTTTTCACTACAAAATAGTGGATATTGGACACTAGAATGCATTACCAGAGGAAGACCATTTGAACATTGAACTTAAATGAACAAAAAAAAAAAAAACACATTGCAGTCAATGTCCAAACCGAAATTCTAATTATTTTGACAACTAAATTTGTATATTGACTTGTTTTAATTGTATGTAAATTTTATATTTAATAAAATGTAATAAGAAATTTAATATCTGTTTAAAAATTCGATATTTATTTATCAAAATAAATATTAAAATTACACATTTGTAGATTAATTTAGCCTATAACACTAGAAAACAAATTAAAACTTTTTCTTGGAAAAGGGTGTGCTAAATTCGAAAATAACCATGAAAATGTTCTGTCACGCCATTATTTCAGTATGTAGGAATTATATACAATTAATGTACGGTGCCATAAAACGGACATTACTTAAATGAATGTTGAACCGTTGAACAATGAAATTAACAGTGAACTAGTTATAAAAAATTATAAGCATAAAAAAGTAATGAGACAAAAAATTAAACATATATGCATATTGAGAACATGTCAAAAATGTCTCCTTTTTAATAACTCTCTTATATTCACTATTGCTTTCTGGTTTGAGAGACCAGAGATAATCGCCCAACATGGTTGGTTCCATCGTCCTTATTAACGGAAATCCATTTCAGAAATGTCCTGATGAATCTTTCCCTCTGTTCATCGCTCACATCATCCAAAGTCTGTGGAAATATGTCGAAATCAAAATGGGGAAGATGAATCCTTATACCAGAAACTTTCCTAAAGCGGAAACGGAAGATGTTTTTGGATCTCAATTGCGTCACAAAATCTAAGCATCAAAAAGAATTTTCCGGTATAACGACAATTAAATTCTAAATCATGATTAAAACGTTCCAAGAGTTTTAGGGCGATTTTTTTCTTTGTTCACCACACACACATTTTGATGTTTCTAACATATCTTTTCAACAATAATTACATTGGAAAAGAAACAGTTATAAATATAAACGATAACATTTTTAAATTGTTCTTTTTTTTTCTTTCTACATAAAAATCCAGTAACGAGTTGCTTAACTTCCCCGGCAACAACATTTAAAATTGCTTGTAGCGTCATCTGTTACAATATTTTATTTTAAAAACTTTTTATGTAATTAATTATTATAAAATAATTATCCAAAATATAATACACAAGTAAAGTTTCAGAAAGTTTTTTGACAAAAGGCACAGGAGTTAAGCTTCAAATTGGGTGAACAAAATCGCTTCCCTCAAACACACAAACATCCAAACATACAGGGAAAAAACACCCGAATTTTTTGTATTTCTCGACGTTTTAAAGTCCCCTGAGTCCAAAAAATTGCAAAACTTGAAATAAATTTGAAATTTTATTTTATAAGTACGCCTATAAAACATATATCCTATATTAAATCGACAATGCAAAAAAGTTATATTTAAATTTAAATTATTACTAAAGAATTTATATTTATTTTTGTTATAATGATCCTCGTATTCTATTATTAATTCCAATTGTTTGAAGAATTTTGCAACTACCACATAATATTACAGAACTTTATGAGTAATTTGTCATAACTTAAAGAATCTTTAAATAAATAAATAAATAAAGTAAATAGAAATTCATTACTTTCAAGTTTATTAATTTTTAAACTTATTAAATGATATAAATTTTGTATATTTTAATTTTAGAATTTGCATTTATGTCGAATTGTATCATAATCAAACTTTATAGAAGATAACGAAAAGAAAATTTTTATAAAGAATTATATAAAATTTGAAAACGGCTTTATCGAATTTTAAATAATAATTCATGAGGATGATCAATTATTAAAAAAGGTCTATATTTTATCGGAAAATGTCGAAATATAAACTCGATTCCTTCTACTTCACTCGGAATTATATTCACGAGATTTGCACACGAAGTCCATTCACCATTCTTGAAGAGGGGTCGACAATCGACCAGAAAAGTATACGTTTCTCCAGCTTCTAGAAAAAGTGGCTTTAGGAAAATTACTTTAAAAATATCTGTTGCCTGGTCGTGTGATAATTTCCCTCTAAGTTTTATGAAATGACTTTGAAATGAGCGCAAGAACCAAATCGTAATTTCACAACTACCGGGAAGATTTATATCGTTTTCGGTCTGTGCGAAGAAACACAATCCACGTAGATCGATATCTTTATACTTCAGATCGAATTTACAGCCAGAATATCCGAGTTGACTTTTTAATTTCTTTTTATTGTAACACGATATTTCGCAAATCCAAGTAGTTTTCCAATTGTATTGCCAGGGGCGAAGTTTGAAACTAGGTTTTCTCTGTCCATCCCAACACCAATGCGGCAATTCTTTGGAATCGAGATTTATGATATTCTCGATAATAGCATTAGCCTCGGCATGAGTTAGAATCTTAAAAGAAAAAGCGTAATGAAGAAATTCCTCTTTACTCATAGATAAAAAACTGATAAATGGTAGAAGTGGTTCCATTGTATTTCTCATTTCGTCTACGGTTACTTCTTCGGATCCTTTACGCTTACAACATTGTGTCCAACTCCACCGACAGAGTTGAGAATATAAAAAAACTTCTGATTCGTAGCAAAGATTTTTCATTCCGAGTATGAAAGTTACGATTTCTAAACTGGAATTCAGAAAACCTTCAGAAAGAACCACGTCTTTTGTATCCGCAGCGATCAATCTCTTGCATTTCATTCGCAACTCTTTGTCATTCTCCTTAATAGCGTGAGCTAACGCTTGACATACATTATTCGGTGTCAAATGATCTAAAATATATTCTCTGCAAGAAGATATCAGATCATTCAATTGGAATTTTTCAGCGGCAGATTGCAATAATATAGATTTTTCTACGGACGTCGTCTTCAATTTCGAAATATAAATAAAACTGTTTAGAAAATTTTAATGCGTTATTTTCTCATTTATAATTCGTATTTATACTCGAAAATTCAATTATTGATTTTTAATTTTTATGAATCTATATTATATTAACCCGAATCTGACGTAAGAATTTACTTACTATAAAAGCGATTCGAAAGTGTAAGGATCGATGTCGGGAATCTTTATGACTTTATTTTCCTGATAATTATTCTTTAGAAAATATTCTTCGAATACATTGCTGGCAGCCGCTAAATATATTTTATGTGCCTTAAAAAATTTTTGAAAGTCTTCTCCTATTAGAAAAATAACATCTGAAAAATCTTCCGACTCGAATAAATAAAGCATTTTAGCATTATCCGATTCTAATTTCTGCCATTTATCCGATGTTTTTTCAACTCGATCTCTGGAAAATCGTTTATAAAGTTTTTAAATTTAGAGAAATATTTATATAGATAGGCTATACAGTCGAACCGCTGAACTCGACAACTGACCGGCAACGTAAAAAATGGCTGTTGTCGGGAGTTGCCATTGTTTGGATGTTATTTTGTATTCGTTCCCCCCCAAAAATGGCCGCCGTTTAAAGGTTCGATCGTATAAATACAAGAATTCCGATGCGAGAATAAGTTATAAAAAAAACCAGTCTAGAATAGAATTTATTCGTATAATAGACATTCGTAATCACCTTTTAATATAAATACACATGTCGAGTATCTCATTTTCTGTTTTGTGATTCCATAATCTTATCGAAATTTCATTATCTTCAGGAAACACTTGCAATCTACTGAACGGTACGTCATCGTCTTCAGAAATGGCATACGTAGTAATGAAAGGATTATATTTATACATATTTATGAGATGATTATAGTTTGGATTTAATAAAGAAAATCTATTATTTATTAATGTAGAGTCATAATAATAAATATAATAGGTATTGTTGTGTAAGGTTGTGAATTAATTAACTAGCAAGCTTCATTCAATGATAGAAATATAAAAATGTTTTATTCATTAAGCGCTAATTAGTTTACATAAAGAGAGAAACTTTTTAGAAATTAATTGGTCTAGTAACTAATTCTATAGAATACACTTCGAATTCGATTTTTTTTTTTTTTTAATATAATAAAAGTTTGATATAAATAGCACTCTTCTCACTAATGACATCGATTGGTTATATGTAGGTCAACCAATATTATGTATAATAAAATGAAATATGTTAAGTAATTTTCACGAAACGGAAAATATAAACCGTCTCAATAAATTATTTATATAAAAGTTTGCTGGCTTATATATATTGTATACACTAAGGCAGTTGAAGTGATATAAATTATGCTAATTCTCAATAATGCGTGTATATTAGTTTTGTCCTTTGTATCGGGTATAAACAATAGCTTATATTTTAAAAACCGATTGATTATTTGAGTAAATGTCAGAATATAAATAAAAATTTTAATCGGATAATGAAGTTTCATTTTATAACCATGTTTAATACACAGAGTTAGGCAGAAGTAACACTATTTTTGAATGTATAATATATATGGTGTTAAGTAGTTTTTAATTTTTTAGGTCTGTAAACAGTGGAAAAAAACTGGTTAGGTAATGTTTTTCTTACTGTTTACAGCCTTAAAATACACACACAAAAAATTAAAAACCACTTAACATCAGATGTAGGCTACTACACATCCGGAAAGAGTATATGTATTTCATTTTATGCCTTCCCCTGTATACTTATATGTATGGAATATGTTTTGACAAATATAATTTATATTAAATATAGTCTAACTGTTAACTGTTTAATACCATATTTGACCATATTTTTAACGAAAAAATAAAATCTTTAATATACACAATCCGTATTTATTTCTAATTAACCATCTTATTACAGTAAAGTGTTTAATATAAATTATTTTTAGATAAATTTAAAAAGGCAATAGTTAATAATCAGATTAACTAGCGTTGGATTTAGATGTAATATTAATGATATTTGACATTAAATACGATAAATATGTTTGATCTGATAATCCTCATAACTAAAGATTTAATTTTAAAAAGAACAATTCTAAAGCTTAGCTTAAACATTTTTTTTTTATGGCTTTAACATTCTGCGAATAACCTCCTCTATTCAATGCTCTAACAGCGGGTGTCCAATTATAATAATTACTATTCCGACTTATTCTCAAAAGTAGAATGTCTAACTGCTTGTAGGCTAATAAATACACCACAAAAAAAAGTAATTTCTTGCTCTCATTTTTTGTGAAATCCTCCGTTTGTGAATCAAGTCTCCAGTATTAAGATCTAAGTTGTATAGCTTTTAACAATAAAAAAAAACGTTAAATATCATGAAAAAATAATTTGATATACTTACTTTTGTTTCATTAATTTATTACTTTAAACTCTTCGTAAATCTGTTTTATTTATTATTGATTTATTTAATTTATGTCGATAATATATTCGAGCCGCCTACCGATATTATAAGTTTTGACTCATAATATATATAATATAAACTATATATACAGGATGGTTCATAAGTCTGAAACCAGAGAAATTATATTAGATTTTCGTTTATACTTTTACGGGTAAAAGTATAAACGAAACTGGCACTGGGGATAGAACATGGCACTGAGGATGGAGAAGGAATTCAAGTTATTTTGATGATGGAGATCCTCTCAGCGTGTCCCTATCATCAAAATCATCGTGAAGTCGCTAAAGATTTTAATAGATTGTATCCAGAATTTTTTCAAATCAACGGTCTGGATGCCTGTTAATCTTCAGCAACATCACGCTGATTGCGAGTCTCCCCACAAAAATAACTTGCATTTTTTTTTACTCAGTGCCATGTAAAAGACACTACCTGTAAAAGAATTAACAAATATCAGCATAACTGTGGTTCCAGACTTATGAGACACTCTGTATAATTTACATATATAATGATGTAATTAGGCTACAGTAAACTATAAAGTATACAATACTTAATAATTTACCATATTGAAGGATATCGTGGTTGTTAATATATATTCAAAGGAATGCTGACAAAGTCAAAAATAAAAACAATGTTTAAGATACTTTTATTTTTCTTGTTTATGGTCCAATGAATTATCTACATAGATTATTTCTGACTAGACATCTAAAATCATCATTTCTAATGTCCATTTTCATACATTTTATAAGATATATATTTGCAACATTTCATATAAGTGCATATTGCAACAATTTGCATATATATTCTAAACTTTTTTTTTTCCTTTAACATTTACAGCTAATTATGCTTAAAATAAGATTTCGTCCCATCATTTCTTAACTCAGGACTTCTATGTTATCATAAGCTAGCAGCAAGGTTTTGTACTTACAAGTATAAAATAAAGTGTATAAAATAAATGCACATATTTATTTTCGTGTATTTGTTTTCGTGTATTCTGTAATTGTATGTGTGTATATATATATATTATTATATGCAAATATACAATATTTATATATATGTAAGTGTGTGTGTATATGAAGTGTGTACAGTACATTGTTATATATTTTACAGGCATGACGTGTTTATGATATTTTGGAAGCAGAGATTTCAAGTACAGTACATACCAATGCTGCTTGTAAATAAAGTTGGCCAGTTATTGTTTTATATAAAATTGGCCATACTCCTCAAAATAAAAGCCACAGTGTAGCTGATAGGCAAATATAAACGAATAAGCTTTGTTGGCTCTAATTTATTTTCAGTTATATATCCTGATATTGAGCCATAACTCTGTTTTCATTTTCTACGTTTAAAATTATATCGTGTTATTGAACATGTAACATAATCACTATCAGAGTCTATTTTCCTTCCAACTATTTATTAGCAGGCAGCACCATATATATATATATTTTTTGTGGTAAATAAATGCCTAAATATACTAACTTCACTTTAACATATCACAGAGTAATATTTTTTGTAGCTGCCAAATTCTATTGTAGAAATCATCGTTACTATGTTAATATTATTTCCAGCTCTATATAACTTTTCAAAATTCTTGATTCATGCAGTATATAATACATATTTTTATAAGATAAATAATTTTCTCAGTTGCGGACTCAATTTGAAAAATTAGCGATAAAGCTAATATTCAATTATTTACTTTTTTTGAAGCTGTAACAAGCGTGTATAAATGTATAAATGCATTTATTGATCACCTGATATATTATGTATATTAATTGGATTTTCCACAATATGTACTTCTTGTCTTCCACCGTAATTTGATGAAAGAAAACTTCCAGGATAGTCTTTTTGCAAGGAATTTTGACGTGAGCGATTTTCACCACGAAGCACTGATAAACTTGCAACTTAAAGAAATTATTAATATAATTAATTAATTTATTTATATATGTATTTTAAATATATATTAATAATTAATTAACTTACTATCTGAAGAAGTAGAAGCTGCTGAAGATCTTCTTCGAAATTGATTGGCAGCTGAAATATTGAGAAATTCTTTTTAAAGTATCGATTAAAGATTTAATTATAGAATAAAGTGAATCTCTGATCGAAAAATAAGACTAATTACAGTAAAACTGTGAAATGTTCATTTTTATTGTAGGATTTTTAATCAAATGGATTTAACAAAACAATGTAAAAAAATGTCTTAACAATTTACAATTTGCAAGTTAATTTGTTTCCATTTCGAATGCTTTATAATTACTTCTTTTACAAGATCATTAAATAAGCAATAGGAAAACTGTTTCCAGTAAATGAAAACTATTTAATACACATAAATTTTCTGCTTTTCCGATTATTACACGTAATGTAAGAATTCATTTTTTATGTATTTTGCGGCTTAAACTAGTATTACTTCAGTTTTTTCGAATTAATTATCTGAATTAAGATTACCTGAATTTAATGAGATTATTATTATTATCGATTACAACACACGTATATTTATTTTTCCGAATAAATTTGAAACGTTTTTAAATGTTAATATAATAAAAATAAAATGCAAAAAGAAAATAATCTACTTTCTCATTTTCTCGTGCTGCTTTGATTTATTTTGAAAAAGAAAGAAAAAAATATAATATATTAATAAAAATTGTCTCGAATAGTCCTTTACAGTTAATAATACTGTAGCCTTTTATTAATAACGGATCTTTTATATTTAGAAAAAGTTTTATTGTCATTAAAAGCTTCAACTTATGCACTGAAAACCGTAAAGGTCCATCTCATTATTTGAATTCGAGATTCCAGTAAAGCGTATTTATTTTCATGCTGTCATCGAGGCAACATTATAGACTTTAATAGACTAATGATAATAAAATTTCAGGGGTTGATTCTTTGAATAATTTCAAATAAATTAATTAATTATTTCATTCTAATTATATAAATCATAATTAAGTTTTTCTATGTTTTTAATAAAAAATTTTAAAAATTATTCATCTTTAAATTTAGTAAATTATATAAAAACATACCGTATCCTAAACCTTGTAAAAAAAGATGTAAGGCCTCACAAACTTTGGCAGGTTGTTCTTCCAATGGCATACCACAATCAGATAACTAAATTTATTGAAAATAATACTAACTTAAATAATATTTATTTTAATTTATATATATTTAAATATAAAATTACCTTCATCCATGTCGAATTTGTAGGATCCAAACGGCTATTCATTGTTATAGTCATTTCTAAATGGGGAGACAAATTTCCTGCTAGTAATAAAACGTGACACCTGAAACAATTGAAAATGTCCATGTAAAATGCTATTCGAGTCGCAATTTTAATATTCTATAAATATCGATATGTTTATTAGCACAATATGTATCGAATTTATAGATTATATTCCCTATTTTTTTATAATTTAATGGTATAAAAAAAATAAATAGTTAGGATAGTAAGTAAGCAGAAAATAAGTAGAATAGAATAAAATAAAATTGATTTAAACTGATATGAGGGTTTCGCACAGCCAAGTTGAAGTAAATAGCATTACATCTAGCCAACGAACACACCGTAAATGAAACAAAGAAAATGGAGCCATAAGCCATTTCTTCGAGACTCGTAGGAATTTCAATTTCGTCTCATACGTGATTAGAATATTTCGTTCTCGTAAATATTGCTTGGCATTCGTTATATCGAGTGTTTTAGCACGTAAATGGGGAAGAGATATAAAAGAAAATAGCTCGTATCACATTCTCGTAGATCGAATACTTGTAAATTGGAGTCACATTGGATTTCTTATTCTTTAAATTAAAAAATTTCAATAATCACAATTTCATTATTTTTCTATAAATGTAAATCTGTATTATTTATACATTTTAATGTTAATTATTACATGCCTGTTTAAATAAAACAACATATAAATACAGTAGTTCTGTCTTCTAAACATAGTGATCATTGAGATCATTTTTTATTTTATCAATTGTCATTTTATCTTGTAAATTATAAAATAAATGAAACAATTCAGTAAAAAAATATAAATTCGTATTGGAATATTTTAAAAAATAATGTTACAATTGACTATTAATTTTTAAAAAGACGACGTATTAAGTTTTCAAATTCAAAATACGTTCTCCCTTTTTCTAAGTTAAATATACAAGATAGGATAAAGTGGAATAACATTGCATGACATGTAAAGAATAAATTGAAATGTCGAATTTACAGTAAAACCTGTGTAAACTTGAATCGCACGATACCAAATACATTTTCCGGTTTGGCAAGTTTCCGTCTTATTCGGGTTCCGCTTTGAATAGGTTTTACTGTATAAAACTTCATAATAAATATAATTTCTATATTACATTTTGCAATTTGCTATTTAACATTCTGCATTAGAAAGTTTTAAGACGTAAATATCACACAAGTATCAGGTTTGGTAGAAAGTTATTTATGTTAGAACTATCATTTAATTCTCTTAAGTCAAATATTTAATCTGCTAGTTTAATTCATATAATTAAAGTAGCCCTCTACAGAATCATCAGAATTCGATAGTGAAAATCAATGGAAATATTACATATACATGACTCATTTAAAGTTTTGAAAGAGTTTATTAAGTTGCTTCAAATGAAACTTTTCTAATAAATAAAACATATTTTTGTTCATTAACATCGAAAAATACGAATTTTCTGTAGAAAAACTTTTGAATTCCATTGTTACTCCTTCCAGAAACAATATATATAATATTATATGAAGAGTAATTTTATGTAAAACGAATAGATTAAAAAGTTAACACGCATCCAATCTTTATCATTTGTAATATAGGTGCATGGTGACTTTTCGATCGCTCTGTATATAAAATTAGTTCCTGAACTTATACTGGTTTAATCGATATCGTAAATACTAAGTCTGTAAACACAAATACCTGATAAATTAAAATATTTGAATTAAATTTCTGAGTGCTTTCAAAGATTGCTGTTGGATTGCTTATAAACCTTTTTTTCTTTTTATAATCATGAAGTAGTTTGGCTAAAGTNAGACATTTTTGGTAGGGAAACTTTAATAAATATTGTATTTGAATTACAACAATGTTTATTAAACAGTGTGTTAGTCATAAGGCAGATTAATGTAGAGAATATGTTACATACAATGTATTACCATATACTGTATGTGTATGTGTGTGTAGCATCTGTTTAAATATTGTAGTGCAGTTTAAAATTTTGGAGATATAAAAAGAACTGCTTATATATACACATGTCTAAATGATTTATCTTGTTACAATGTTTAAGAATTTTTATTAAATTAAAAGTGCCAATGAGGGGAATTAATCTGCTGGAAATGAATTGATATATGATATTTTGAGAATTGAATTTCAAAAAAGATGTGCAAGTTATCAATAAATTTAAAATGTTATTGTAATATATTGTTCTTAAGATGTCAATATTGTAAAAAGGAAATGAAAAATAGCTTTTTGGGTGATAAAATTTAAAAAACTAAAATGTAATCATTCTGATCCAAGATGGCATATTTGTACTTGTAACGCCATCTATTAGCATTCCAAGTAACTGATGTGGACATTTTAAAGGTAAGACGTGAATTCTTAAACATTTTAATTGTATACTTTTAACATATAACGAAAAATTGTAAGAAAAATAATAAAATTTATAAATTCGGAAAAACGATTACGTATAGCTTTATTAATAGTCTAACTTATCTACGTTGAAAAAGCATTCGTGAATCAAACGGAATTCATGTGGCGTTGTAATTCAAAATAAACATCTAAGCTTGACGGATTTTTAATAACTTTTTATTTAAAGTCAAAATATTTATATTTTATGTTTATAATATATTGAAATTAAACAACGTTATTCTAGTTTAAAATAAAATAACTAAAACGAAATGGCGTCGTCTTGCAGTTTGCTATTGAGATGGAGAAGGCAACGTTATCGTTTATAATAAAATGAACGATTACACAGTCGCGTTAATGATCTTTTTATACACTTTATTAAATTATTCGGTCTGTTCAAATAAAGCTTTAAGAGTGAAAAAAATTTGCAGAAATCAGATAACAGATGGCGCTACACGTAGAATAAATTTTTGCCCCATTTGTACAGACGTGCGACTAAATATCCAGATGGCACAGCCAGCTGATTGGTCGGCTGAATGACGTCAACCCAGCGAAGTGTAGATTATATTTTGTAGTCGTCAGAACGTATCATGACGAAATTCATTATTTTTTTTTAGTTGTCGTAATATGGAGTGAGTATAAAGTGAAAATACAGCTGATTATTTATTTTTTTGAACATTTAACTTCATACAAGTCGACCCCCCTATAACACTGTTAATTATTCCGTTTTATACGAATTCCATGTTGTACGAGTCACTTAAATTTTACAAATACGTGTGCCAAGCTGTGAACGGTTCACGTATTTGTAAAATCTAAGTGACTCGTACAACATGAAATTCACATAAAACAGAATTATCAACAGTGTTATAAGGGAGTCAACTTATTTGATATATTTATTAAATGAAAAAAAAATTACTTTTCCAAAATGATACCACATAAGATATTCTTGTGTTGATGTTGTCATTCCAGAATTTCGTAAATTCATAGCATTTAATTTCTGATATCCCCATTCAGTCCAGCTGGCAGCAGTTGAAGTGCAATTGATAAGGAACAATCCATCCACGCAGTCGGGTCTTTGAAGCTAAAATATTACAAAATTCCGTATAAATTATTAATAAAAATATTCTTCTTTCTGATAATATTAAAATTTAATCACTTATCAAGTATATTTATATATTAATTAATAATTGTAATATTAAATATGTTAAAAATTATCTAAATAATACTCACTGCAAACCTTGCTAATATATTAGCTCCTGCTCCAACTCCAAAGCCTATGAAATGCTTTAGTCTAATAAAATAAAATTAAAATATTTAAAATATTTTCATTTTAAAATTAAAGTTTACTTGTAAAATATGTACTGTATTTACCCGTAATATTCCATTACAACTGTTAGCATTTCAGCTAATTGATCCATCGTTGGGTATATGTAACTAAAAAAAAGTTTTTTTATAACTTTAAAATGATTATAACATAAATAATTATTTGCTAATTTAAATAATATATTCAAAAAAAGATTCGAAAGAATTTTTATTTAAATACAAACCTTACCCAGTTGGAAGAGTAATTGCATCTTCTTCTTGACCAGGAGCATTGATGTGATATATACAAAATGATTGAATGAGGATAGGCGTGTCTGCATAATTCAGAAATGCTTGAAAGTTGGTAACATCTGTTCAAAAAAGCATACACAATATAATAATAATAATAATAATAATAATAATAATTTTAAAATTTAAAGACTTTATTGCATGCAAGCAACTCACGATTCAATCCAATATCATGATATGTGAAAATAGCAGGCTTATTTCTATCCCCTTGAACGACTACAAACATTGTTCCTAAATCAGTAGTTATTTTATCTTCCTAAAATAAAATAAACTCACTTTAAAATATTTTAATTGATGTCTTAATAATAATTAATAACAAATTATGTTAAAACATTTATTGGTTATAGAAACAGATTATAGACTAAATAATTGAATTAGCTTCCTTTTTAAATGATTATTTTATGTTAATTTAATTGATTTTCTTAATTTGATATTTAAATTATTAATTAAAAACTGTGGTATTTTATTCATTATAATATATATTAACGAAGTTGTATATTGATTTCCTTAAAAATAGCCTTTGAATTACAATATATAGAGTGGTTTAAAGTTCTCTATAAAAAAAATATATATATTTTCACGTATCATTGTTTCCAGGATATAGAACGATTAATCAGAAAAAAAAATCCCTTGACATTTATATTTAAGAATAAAAAAGACAGGTGTATAAACTAAATTCGTGTCTATAAATAGTGGAAAATGAGTCAATAAGCGTGTATTCAAAGTGAAATAACAAAAGACCAGTTTAAGTATCCACTTTGGTCTGGAAAAATTACTATTGTTCCCTGCATTTTTTTTGTCATTCTGGAAAGTCGAATTTCGAAATAAGTTCTTCCAGAACATCAGCATGACATGTATATATTTATTTAATATACCATAGTTTAAATCATATTAAATTTACAAATTATCATTGTTATTATCTGTGCTAAATGAGGCAAAGTTTCTATGACTGACTTACGAAGCGTGATATAGCTATCCTTCATTTTCCAATAGATTTGTTTCTATATTTAGAACAAATCATGACGTATTTTCTTTACATTTTAAAGTGTTTGCATTGTTTAAAATGAATATTTTACGTGTACAAATAATTTTTATAAAAAGTATCTCGAATATCTCGTTTAGCATTTATTAATTATTCAACTTAATAATGTATTTTTAAAGATAACAATAATAATAATTAAATTTAACCAGAGTTTTAATTACGTTCATATGTTTATGAAGTACGCATTATTCAAGAATTTGAATAATACGAGAGATAATGATAAGTTATTAATATAATGCATTCGGCAATTTCAGTACAAAGAGATGTTATTAAACATAATAAACTGGAAAATTATTTGCAGAAGGCACATAGAAAATATTGAATTTCTAGTCAATATTTCATGCATTTTATCGTTGGGACAAGGAGCGTCTTTTTTTTCGGAGATTTTATCAATAATTTTCCCAATGAATCTACACATCTTTCTCTGTATTTTGGTCTTAAAAAAATCGATTTCGTTAACCGTTTTAACATTATATAATATATACAAAAACATTAAAACTATTTACAGAATTAATTTTTTTAAGTTAGTATTACACAAAACAATATTTAAATATAATTATATAATAACAAAAATCAAATTCTATGAAGTAAAATACCACATTACAGTTTTTTGATGCCATAAAATATACAAATATTGGCATTATTCTTAGTTTTGTATAATTATTTATTAAAGATTTATTTTTACTTTCCCGGTTCTATTATACATAAACTAAAAAACGAGTTGCTCAACTTTCCCGGCAATATTTAAAAGTTTGGTGGCGCCATCTGTTATTATATTTTAGTTTTTTTCAAATTTTATATATTTTTAACTGTTATAAAATGGCAAACAGCTTAATTTTGAGGGTGGGAATGAGTTATGCCGAATCTCCATACTTTTTGTTTGTGTGTATGGATGTGGTGAGGCACGATATTCACCCACTTTGAAGCTTAATAATTCCTATGTCTTTCGTCGAAAATTTTTGAAATTTTGCATAGGAGTTTATGTATTAGTTGAATAGATGCTATTAAATTTTGGTGGTTAAGGGTCAAAAAGTCAAAAGGTCAAAGGTGATTAAAGGTCATAACTCCTTTATCTTACCATCCTTTTGGTTGGTAAGATAAAAGAATTATGTATCGTTAAATGATGAGTTTTTTTTTAAATTGCAAGTTTGCATTCTTTCGTCATTCCTATAAAAGATTTCTATTGTTATATTCTTCCTGGAGACTTTTTATTACGAAANGAAGAGTTGATAAAAAACATATAATAAAACCCGTTCGAAACAAAACCTTAATAAAACGGAAACCTGTCTAAGCGAGTCCGGTTTACATAGGTAAAACCTGTGTAAACCGGACTCGCTTTTTAGACATATTTTAGTAAACCTATGCTACAAAAAAAAGTCTTAAATAATATATTAAATTTTGTCAATATTTAGTAAAAATTGAAATTGAAGAATTAACAAATATTATTTTTTAAAAAATTGCTGGTATCAGTATGTTATTTCCTATCAAAATATGAATTTTTAACAAGTCTGTAAATTCAGAAATTGTTTTTTATGAATTTATTTTAATTAAAATTTTTATAATTAAATTCTTAAGATAATTATATTTTATGCTTTCTTATTAAAGAAAACAATTATAATAAATTACACAGCAACAAAAACTATATTCTGTTTGATTTTAGTACCATAGAAGCCTAAATCGCAAATCAATATTATGGACTATCTAAAGCATGTAACTACTACAGACAATTTATAAGAAAAAAATTCTACTTTTTACTTATAACTTTAAGGGGAGAAATAGGAGAAATTTCAAAATAGTAAAAATTTTATTATTTTCTTTAAAATTATTAATTATAATTATCTTCTATGGAATGAATGAAGATTTATTTATTTATTTATTTGTTCAATTAATGTTCATTTTCTTTCAAATTTCGGGTTTCGAATTTCAAAAGTTAAAGACATTCTTTCATTTTAGAAGAGAAATTTAAAATAAAAGCATAATTTTAGTATTCTTACGATAAAAACGTGCTTTGGAAAATGTAATACAGTAAACCTGTCTAAAACGCAACGATTTCAGTAAAATGCTGTTATAAGCTGAAATCTGTCTAACGAGGACGGATGACTTTTGTATACCAAATTCATAACGAACCTGAGTAAAGAGGACTTTTTCAGCGTAACAGCAACTAAATTTTAAATCGTAATACTATTACTTGATGCCTCGCATCATAATGCTATTACTTGATGCCTCTCATCATAGTCCTCTTCTCGGTGATGAGAGTTTATCACTTCTTCCTTTGTTAATATTGTAACTTCATTGTCTTGAAAGTAGCTATAACAGAGTAATATCTCTGTTTCGCTCCGTTTCTAAGAAGAGTTGATAAAAAACATATAATAAAACCCGTTCGAAACAAAACCTTAATAAAACGGAAACCTGTCTAAGCGAGTCCGGTTTNCTTAATTTATCAGAAACATTGTAATATAAGGAATTATAATGTTACTAAAAATTTCGTTATTTTATGCATAAATTTATTTAATTTTGCCATTTCTAAAGGTTTATCTTTAAAATTATTAATTATAATTATCTTCTATGGAATGAATGAAGATTTATTTATTTATTTATTTGTTCAATTAATGTTCATTTTCTTTCAAATTTCGGGTTTCGAATTTCAAAAGTTAAAGACATTCTTTCATTTTAGAAGAGAAATTTAAAATAAAAGCATAATTTTAGTATTCTTACGATAAAAACGTGCTTTGGAAAATGTAATACAGTAAACCTGTCTAAAACGCAACGATTTCAGTAAAATGCTGTTATAAGCTGAAATCTGTCTAACGAGGACGGATGACTTTTGTATACCAAATTCATAACGAACCTGAGTAAAGAGGACTTTTTCAGCGTAACAGCAACTAAATTTTAAATCGTAATACTATTACTTGATGCCTCGCATCATAATGCTATTACTTGATGCCTCTCATCATAGTCCTCTTCTCGGTGATGAGAGTTTATCACTTCTTCCTTTGTTAATATTGTAACTTCATTGTCTTGAAAGTAGCTATAACAGAGTAATATCTCTGTTTCGCTCCGTTTCTAAGAAGAGTTGATAAAAAACATATAATAAAACCCGTTCGAAACAAAACCTTAATAAAACGGAAACCTGTCTAAGCGAGTCCGGTTTACATAGGTAAAACCTGTGTAAACCGGACTCGCTTTTTAGACATATTTTAGTAAACCTATGCTACAAAAAAAAGTCTTAAATAATATATTAAATTTTGTCAATATTTAGTAAAAATTGAAATTGAAGAATTAACAAATATTATTTTTTAAAAAATTGCTGGTATCAGTATGTTATTTCCTATCAAAATATGAATTTTTAACAAGTCTGTAAATTCAGAAATTGTTTTTTATGAATTTATTTTAATTAAAATTTTTATAATTAAATTCTTAAGATAATTATATTTTATGCTTTCTTATTAAAGAAAACAATTATAATAAATTACACAGCAACAAAAACTATATTCTGTTTGATTTTAGTACCATAGAAGCCTAAATCGCAAATCAATATTATGGACTATCTAAAGCATGTAACTACTACAGACAATTTATAAGAAAAAAATTCTACTTTTTACTTATAACTTTAAGGGGAGAAATAGGAGAAATTTCAAAATAGTAAAAATTTTATTATTTTCTTTAAAATTATTTTTAAATATTAGCTTTTTAATAGTTCTAATAATAATAGAATTACTAGAATGAGACCTATTTACTGTAGTAAGGACAAGATACAGAAAACAGGAGACAATTACCATATATTTGATAATAAAATTATAAGAAAGAATAACAAAATAATCTCACATACTGTATTATTATTATTTTTATTATTATTAGGGGTTACAGCTTACACAAAGATCTAGGGGGTTTAAGAAAAGAAGAGTATGAGGAGATAAGAAAGAGGAGAGAAGGTCCCAGTAGGGTACTGAGAAGATAGAGTGAATCAAAAAATATGAGAAATGTTTACATAGTAGAAGTAATTATATAAAGTAACAGTGCTTTAATATAAGAATGTAATGAGACAATATCGTTGCTATAAAATCGCTAACATTGATTACATTAGAATTTAAAATAAGCAATGTATCCTTAAAAAGCTTACTAAAGGTATATAAAATTTTTCAAAAATCCTTCAAAATTCTTGGAAAAATCAACTCATAACTCGACTTAAAAAATTCATTTCACTTTAGTCGAGTTATGAGTTGATTTTTGGGAGGGGGGAAGACATAATCAGCGCGTGAGGGAGATAGTAATACGATGAGCTTTACGTATCGATCTCTTATTCCTGAGAATTCCTAATGCTTTTGGATGAAATCGTTCTGGATGAAACTTAGTTTATATTTAAATATATATATATATATATACACATTATATATATATATATATAATTGTAAATGCTAATAACGAGTAAAATTTTCATTAAGTCCGACCTCGATATACGACACGCGATCCCCTCTATCTCCTCACTTCCTCTACCTTTAACCACCAAAATTTAACAGCATCAATTTCCCTAATATACAAACCTCCTTACAAAATTTCAGAAGTTTTCGACAAAAGGCAAGGGAGTTATTAAGCTTTAAAATGGGTGGATAAGATCATATCCCCATACACTAACATCCATACATACAGAAAGGAAATACCCAAATTTTTTGCATTTCTCAACATTTCAAGGTCCCCAGTGTCCAAAATTAAAAAAAAACTTGGGTTATTTTTTGACCGATCGCCATACTTTCCTTATGTTATATAGGGGAGATCGGGGCAAGATCGGCATGTTAAGCTTTACTTAAATTTTGTGTAATAAATACTGCTGTAAACTGAAAAAAAGCTTTGCATATTGTCTATTGGAATGTTACCTTACTATACATCTGGCTAAAATCAGTTTGGACATAAAAATAATTAAAATAATTACAACTTTACAAGAAGAGAGAAATTGACGAAGTTGCCCCGGGTATAGGGGCAAGATCGGCAACTTCTCTCTTTTTGTAAAGTTGTAATTATTTTAATTATTTTTATTAAAGTTGCCCCTGGTATAGGGGCAACAGTAATGGGGCAAGATAGGCACGTATATAAAATTATGTTATTAACAATGTATAAGTTGGAATTCACTATTAAAACAAAAAAATACAAATCCAACACCCATTTAATATTATTACAACGAAATGCAAGTTCAAAGACATATATACATGAATAACAAATGCAAACATGTTTTCATTTATCATCTGTTTGATTTTTATCCTTTGCTTCTAATGTGGCTTTATGTTGCCGATCTTACCCCGCTAGTCATGATTTCGAAACATTAAGTACAACCCTGAGAACAGAATGCCAAGCCATGATCTGGCCACGTGAATAAGTTGAAGTTACATCCTTCTAACAGGAAAAGTAACTTTCGTTATCATGGAATTATAACAAAACCTGCCAATTCAATATAAATGGAAAAAAAAATATTATATGGAATTCAACGAAAATGAAAATTTGCTTGATAATTCAACTACGCTTGTTGGAGAACAATAAAAACACTACACTCAACAAGCCACCAATAAAACTCAACTGCCTAACCTATAACCAAAGTCTCCTTTTAATTTGTTTTTTAAAAAAAGCGCTTGACAAACTTGCCCCGCATGCC